TCATCACACCAGGCTTTTGTACTGTCGTGATGTGATTCTAACACCAGCATTGGTAGTTTACATTTCTGAGTGATAAAACAGCAAGCAGTAGGCAGGAGACAGGCATGGAGATAGGGCAGAAGTGGAGGATGGAATGGAAGGAAGCAGCTTTCTCCAGTCTCTCTCTGGTGCTGCCTCCTGCGAGCCTTCATTCACGATTGCAGCCCCACCTCAATACCCATCTCAAGACACATGCCTCAGCTTCCCAGGAATTTCTTGCTTTGGTGATGGTGGTGGTGTTAGTGTTACTGTTTAGTTTCTTCATTGAATGTTTCCCTAACTTTAGTTTCTGCAGAGCTGATTTTTGAGAAGGCTGCCAGCAATTCATGCCATGTGCCATCTTGGCAGCAATCAGAATCTTCCTCCAATGTCACATGTTCATTCTAGGATACCTCGTAGCCCCATCAGTTCAGAAATGTGCATGTAGCAGTCTTTGTCCAAAGGACACAGAGTAAGGGTTATTGGTGGTGGGCTAGGGGAATAGCTCAGTGGTAGGGTGTGCTTAGCAGGCCCTGGGTTCAATGCCTAGAACCCCTCCCCCCAAAAAAGATGATTGGTGAATACTTATTTACTTTTGTGTGTCTTAATTTATAGATAATGTATTATAATACATAAAACTTGAAAATGAATACATTTTACACTATTTATCAACTACTATTTAAATGATACAATTTTTGTTTACCAAATGCCAGGTGTTTTCTGTTTTATATTCCTACTTGGTAATTTATTGTAATTAAAATTACTATTTAATTTTAACACTCAGCTTAACCAGAGAGAAACAGAAAATTTATTATCAGGTAAACATATTTTCATATTTTATGTTTCAGAACTACCTTACTTTTAATCCAACAAATAATAAAGAGTTGGTGAGCAATAGTAAAACACAGGCAATATATTATTCATGGGTAAGTAGAAATATTTTGATTTGTTGTAAATGTGGGTACAAGTGTATATTTATTCTTTGAATAGAAATGTTTTGGTAATATAACAACATAGTGTCTATTTAGGAAGCAATAAGTATATATTAAAATGTTTTAATTATGGTATTTATTTTAGTCCCATTGGAAATTAGCATATTAAATAAAAGCAGAATACATTAAAATTTCACTTTAATATTTATGAAGTAATGAGGGAAAATATTTATATGAATATATTTAATGGGTTTAAAAGGTAGGGGTTTTTTTTTTTTTTTTTTTTGAGACCCTGGACTTTATTCCTTTTCAGAAAGGAATTAGCAAACAGAACAACCAACACAAGAGAAAATAATGAGATTAAAGAAACATTTAAAGTTAAACAAAGCCTGGGCACCCATGGCTCACACCTGTAATCCTAGCTACTCAGGAGGCATCGGATCTAAGGATCTGGGTTTGAAGCCAGCCCCGGGCAAAATAGTCTCGCGAGACCCTATCTCTAAAACCCATCATAAAACAGGCTGGTGGAGTGGTTCAAGCTGTAAAAGCTCCTGCCTAGCAAGTGTGAGGCCCTAAGTTCAAACCCCAGTGCCCATCAATCAATCAATCAATAAAATTAAATTAAATTAAACATAGGATTATGTTTAACTCAGCAGTTCCTAGGTACACCTGGAAGGATTGACAACAGCCATAGATTTTCACAAATATCCATATAGTGCCATGATTCAAAATAACCAAAAGGTAGAAACAAACCAAATGTCCATAAACTGCTGAACAGGTAAACAAACTGTGATCTTTCCACACAGTAGAGTATTACTATATGAAGTGCCAGACACAAAGTCACCAATTGTATGTTTCCATTTATATGGATGTCAAAACAGGCAAATCCATACAGTCAGAGAATAGACTCCTCGTAATTGGGCTGGGAAGAGGAGGCATGGTGGGTGACTGCTTAGTGGATATGGGGGTCACCTTTTGGTGTGATGAAAATGTCTTATAACTAGATAGAAGTGGTGTTGCACAGCATTGTGAATATAAGAAATACCACTGACTTGTGTCACTTTATAGTGATTCACATGGTTAATTTGTAGGTTAAGTACATTTTATTTCAATAAAAAATGCAAAGCCAAAACAAAAGCACATTGAATCACTACTGTCAGTGGTATTTATTTCTTCAGGGGTTTTAGGCCTAAAGCCTTATTGATATAGAATTCTCATTAGCTACCATTTAAAGTCAAAATCATTTGTGGCATTTTTTAAAATGTATATCTTTGTCTGTGGAACCTTTTTATTTATTTATTTTTTATTTATTTATTTTTATTGTTTTATTATTCATATGTGCATACAATGCTTGGGTCATTTCACCCCCCTGCCCCCAACCCCCTCCCTTACCACCCACTCCGCCCCCTCCCTCTCCCCCCACCCCCTCAATACCCAGCAGAAACTATTTTGCCCTTATTTCTAATTTTGTTGAAGAGAGAGTATAAGCTATAATAGGAAGGAACAAGGGTTTTTGCTGGTTGAGATAAGGATAGCTATACAGGGAGTTGACTCACATTAATTTCCTGTGCGTGTGTGTTACCTTCTAGGTTAATTCTTTTTGATCTCTCCTTTTCTCTAGTTCCTGGTCCTTTTTCTATTGGCCTCAGTTGCTTTTAAGGTATCTGCTTTAGTTTCTCTGCGTTAAGGGCAAGAAATGCTAGCTAGTTTTTTAGGTGTCTTACCTATCCTCACCCCTTCCTTGTGTGCTCTCGCTTTTATCATGTGCTCAAAGTCCAGTCCCCTTGTTGTGTTTGCCCTTGATCTAATGTCCACATATGAGGGAGAACATACGATTTTTGGTCTTTTGGGCCAGGCTAACCTCACTTAGAATGATGTTCTCCAACTCCATCCATTTACCAGCGAATGATAACATTTCGTTCTTCTTCATGGCTGCGTAAAATTCCATTGTGTATAGATACCACATTTTCTTAATCCATTCGTCAGTGGTGGGGCATCTTGGCTGTTATGGAACCTTTTTAGATGCTCTTCAAGGCAACAGATTTTCTCACGTATAGAATTTTTAAATCTCTGACCCTGTAATTTTTGTTTTGACTTTGCTATTACGTAGTTCCTGTTTTGGAAAGCAGATTTTTTTTTTTTTTAGTAGTAACTATTTTTTCTGTGTTTATCAGTTTGAAGAGGAAAGTGTACTTGCTCACAGTGCCCCACTCTTAACAGAAAAGGTGAGTATGCCCGGGGCGTTTCGAGCATCAGAATCTGTGGAGGACATGATGCCTGTGATGTGCCCATGCTGTGCAGCTATGGTCTGTGCTCTGTGTGGCTTCATCCCAAACCACTGGGGAATACTTTGACAATCTTTACTTGGGTCCTTTAGCTAAACTGATTTGCCAGCTGAAAATAATGGAAGTATTGTTAAAAATCAAATGTTATAGAAAACATATCCAAAAAAGTAATGGATTTTATAATGTACATGTGCATATTGATAAAGAATAAGAGTTAATTGGAAGTGATGTAAGTGGAGTAATTGAACACGAGTAGGTCCGTTATGAAAATGACCATCTTCAGAATAGTAAAAACTGGTATTGTGAGGGCAGGGGTTGTGGCTCAAGTGGTAGAGCATCTACCTGGCAAACATAAGACTCTGAGTTCAGATCCCAGTGCTACCAAAAATTAAAGGTCGTTGGGTATTCATATATTTAAGAACAGTAGGAAAGTGGCAAACCACATGTTGAGAAAGCATTTCATCTTGCCTGCTGACTGCAAGCTGCTTCGTCTGAAATGGAATTTGAGTCCTGTCTCCTAAAGCATTTTCTGTGTCTGATACACGTGTAGTCTGACCTCACCTTGTGATTTTTCTGCTTCCATTCTTCTTTCTTGGTATGATTTGTAAAAACTTGCTTATTTACAGTACTAGGGATCAAACCCAGAGCCTCTTGGTGCTAGGAAAGCATTTTACCTCTGTGCTACATCACCAGCCTGCAAAAATTTATTTTTTAAGAGGGCATGACCAAAGGAAAAAGTAATCATGAGCGAGATAGACACAGGGAAAGATTATTCTGCTGGGGGAGTGGCACAATTGGTAAAAACAACAGCCTAGCAAGTGCGAGGCCTTGAGTTCAAACCCCAGTGCTGCCAAAATAAATAAATAAATAAATAAATAAAACAAATTGGCATCAACTTTGATTTAAGAAAAACAACTTTAGGGGCTAGGAGAATATCTCAAGCAGTTGGAATGCCTGCCTAGCAAGCATGAGGCCCAGAGTTCAAACCCTAGTACTGCCAAAAAAAAAAAGACCATATTTAATTTAACATTGATTTATTTGCAGTGCTGGGGATTGAATTTAGGGAAGTACTCTACCACTGAACTACATCCCCAGCCCAACACTGATTTCTTAACATGGGCCTCACAACCAGTATCACTATATATGACTCGTGCCTGAATGAAGCTCATCTCACACAGGTATCCTCTGCAGTCAGCTGTCTTGCACTCAAAAACACTAGTCAGCACTTTAGGTCTATGTTTGGTGCCAGTGTGTTTGTATTTTATTTTTTAGTGTTTGACAAGGGATGTTTGTTTTGGGAAACAATACAAGCAATTGTAATTCCCATATCCTATTTGCTTAAGTGCAATAGAACAGTCAAGTGTAATTTCTTTCCACAGTAGTACATCTGGTCTTTTGCCTTTAGTTATTCTATTGTAATCCTAAAGACCAGTGAACAAGTCATGAGGGCTCTGACAGGCAAGTCCGCTTACTCAATGAGAAATTCAGATAATTTAAGTCAAGTGTTCCAGTAGTGCAATTAAAATAGTCAAATAAGGGTTCAAATATATTTTTTCAATATGCTAGTTTCTTTTAAGTTATGTTCAGGCAAGGTACTGCTTAAAAAACACCATTATTGGTTTTGTCCACAGATGTAAGTTATCAAAAGTTACCCAAGGTAAGTTTGATGTTGAATGCAAGTTTAAACAATAAAAAATTGTATTACATTTACTTCCCAAAGCAAATTATACAATTAGAGCCCCCAAACTTGTAAACTAAACGTTCTGACACAAATGCACAAAATTAAATTGGTGCCAGACACCAGTGGCTCATGCCTCTAATCCTAGCTATGCAGGAGGCAAAAATCAGGAGGATCATGGTTTGAAGTCAGCCTGGGCAAATAGTTTGTAAGACCCTATCTCGAAAAAACCCATCACAAAAAGTGCTGGTGGAGTGGCTCAAGGTGTAGGCCCTGCGTTCAAGCCCCAGTACTGCAAAAAAGAAAAAATTAAATTGGTAACATTAAAGAAAGGACACATGTCTATTTTGAGATATGTAGTGTTTGGGCTGAGCAACCTTTTTGTCTTGAAATTTAAAAGCAGTTCTCTGTTCGGGTCAAGTTCAAGCATTGCAATGAATAAAAAGAAAGCACCCCAAAATGTAAATAAGATCTTGAAAAGAATGGAAAAGTATCCTTATTTACAGTGTCAGAACTGAAATGAGAAGGCAGGGAACTGCAATTGAGCACAGTGCATAACCCTTCGCTTGCTCTTGGTGATCCTTCAAAGGTTCAGAACTGCCTGGACTATGAGAATCATGGGAGATGGTTTTTAGTGATTCTTTTTTTTTCCTTTCTTTTTTCTCACTGTATTTCAGCATAATGATTTAAAATGTCATGTTGATATAGGTTTTATTTTATTTTCATTACAGATGCTAACTCATGATTTGTCTTTGAAACACAGACATTCAACAAGCTTGTGGGAAAATTTAGCCAGTCCGTCTTTCACTTGAACCTCACACAGATACTCTCGGCAACAATGGAAGGGAAGCTGGTTGTCTGGAACATACACCACCCACTTTCATCTTCCCCCACCTTTGTGGGCTTTCCCTACATCAAGCCTTGTAAATTGGTTCATTTGCAGAAAGAGAGCATCACCGTGCTCACCACCGTTGATAGGTAATTAGCTTAATTAAAAGGTAGCTTTAGATGATTACACAAATATTTTAGAACTCTTTTTATATACATATCTGTATATGCATAGCATATTTCTGGGGAGAGTCATAATTAACTGGGAACCTTGGTTGCCTCTGAGGAAAAGAACTGATAACAAGGATCAGGGATGGGGGTGGGTTTATTCTTTATATAGTCCCATTTATACGAATTGGATTAAAAAAAAACATGGACATGCATTGTGTTTAGAAATCCCGCTTTGTTGGTGAAGCAGAAAGTAACTGACTTTTTTCTTCTGTGATATTTAGACTTATTTTGTACCCCAAATTTTTCATACCTTAAGTTTTGAAAACAATTCAAAGTAGAGTGGCCCAAGTAGTAGAGCACCTGCCTAGCAAGCGTGAGGCCCTGAGTTCAAACCCCAGTACCTCAAGCAAAACAAAACAAAATAATTCAAATATCTATATTGTTTTGTCTGATTGAAAAATAACATTTATGGGTTGGAGGAGTGGCTCAAGTGGTAGAGAGCCTGCTTAGCAAGCATGAGACTCTGAGTTCAAACCACAGTACTGCAAAAAAAAAAATTACACATCATATAAAGATCAAATACATCACAACCCTTTTATTGGCTGGGGAAAAAAGAGGATTGAGACAGGGTCTCACTATGTAGCCCAGGCTGACCAAATACATGATTCTCCTGCCTGCCTCAGCAGGAGGCATGTGCCACCACACCCAACTTTATAAAATTTGGAGCTCTTGGACTTTGAGGGGCTGCGGGGACTCACAGATGATCATTAAAAGCCTCTGATAGAACAGGGTTCATATTCCAGCTGTATCCCTTCCTTGCTGAGTGACCTTGAGTTTCTCCCTCTGTAAGATGGGCACAAAAGTCTCTGAGCTTTTATGAGGATTTCACAAGATAAGGCATGCAGAACTGCACTGGGTAGATGACAGACACCACTGAGTGTGGAGGAAATGTCTAATGACCAGGACCTGCCCATATGGTTGGAGTCACTGTCCATCTGCTTTCAAAAAGCCGTTAACATTTATTTGCCTTCCTTTAGATGTAGGGGAATAGTGAGGTCCTGGCATGCTTTTACAAAGAGAGATGAAATTGTCATTCTCATTCATTGATTGGTAGAACTGCAAACCAATGATGCTGTCAATTTTTGGGGGGGTGGGGTTTGAATTCAGGGCCTCACACTTGCTAGGGTTGCTAGGCAGGCACTCTATCACTTGAGCCACTCCACCAGCTGCTGTCAACTTTTAATCAGCTGGAGGTTAGGGCCCAGTGAAGACCAGGCCTGAATTCCCCTCTTTCCATGTTAACTAAAACTCAGACAGTATCTAGGAACAGTGGAAGGAAAAGGTCTCTAAAAATATTTGGTTGGCTTTGCCACTTCTGTCCAGCAGAGGGCAGTGAAAGAGGTTCTAGCCAATTACTCTGACCACCTGCCTTGCTTATTAATCAGAAACCTCATTTAATCACTGCATAATAGATGAGACTCGAATTGAAATTCACTCCCCTTCTCCCCCTGTGATTAGGACTGTGTCAGAGTCTTTAAAAAAAAAGCCCATTTGGGATGAATCTGTGGACTGGAAATAAAAGCCATTTTGTCACGCAGCACTGCTCTTGGCTGTGGTGATTGGACAGGGTTTTATGGTCTCTCTAACAACAGAGCCTTCCTATAAAGTGGCTTGTGTCCCATTGCCATCCTTGTGATTGTGGAGGGCTGGGGACTGACTCTCTCTGTTGTCATCTGCAGTCATGTGGCAGAGAATCTAATCACTGCCCACCACCATGGTATATGACTGACCTTGGAGGGCTGGGAAGAACGTATCAAAAGAGTGTGCACTTTGCTTTAGACACTGGACTCTCTGCATAGTCTAGTCTTTCAGCCCTGAGAGAGTTCCCAGGTATGTGTGTCCCGTGTGATATTTGGGATATACTTATACTAAAAGAGAGTATTCATTATCTGTCTGAGATTTAAATTTCATTGTACATCCTCTATTGTTATTTGCTATACCTGGCTTTGAGCAAGTTTAACTTCTCTGAGCCTTGGTTTCCTAGATATAAAGTGGGAAAAACAATGATAAAATCAGCCTCACGGGCAATATTAAATAGAGTTTCCCAAACCCAGAGCTTGGTGTTCAATGCATGGTCCTTGCTATTACTGTTGTGTAACAAACCAATGTTACTCTCCATTTCAGCTATATTGTCACAGGTGACATTAAGGGTAACATTAAGTTCTACGATCACAACCTGTCCATTGTTAACTGGTACAGTAACTTCAAACTGAGCTCCATAAGGACCCTGTCCTTTTCAAAGACCCTGCCAAGTCCCCCCACCGAGAAATCCAACTTCCCCACAGACTGTACTTTAAAAGGTGACCTTTTCATCATCAGGTAAGTTGTTAATGAATCTAGTGATTTGGCTGAGCACTGGTAGCTCACTCCTGTAATCCTAGCTACTTGGGAGGAAGAGATCAGGAGGATCATGGTTTGAAGCCAGCCCTAGGCAAACAGTTTAAGAAACCCTATCTCAAAAATACTCAATGCAACAAAGGGCTGGTGGTGGAGTGACTCAAGTGGTAGAATGCCTGCCCAGCAAGTGTGAGACTTTGAGTTCAAACCCCAGTACCAAAAAAAAAAAAAAAGGCTGAAATTGAGGGAACTGGATGGCACTGGTGGCTCACATCTGTAATCTTAGCTACTTGGGAGGCAGGGATCAGGAGGATCATCATTTGTGGCCAGCCTGGGCAAATAGTTCATGAGACTCTATCTCAAAAATAACCAATTCAAAAAAGGGCTGGCAGAGTGGCTCAAGTGGTTGAGTTCCTGCCTAGCAAGTGTAAGGCCCTGAGTTCAAACCCCAGTGCTGCCAAAAAATAAAATAAAATAACCAGAGCAAAAATGGACTGGAGGTGTGGCTCAAGTGGTAGAGCACCTGCTTTGCAAGTATGAAAGCCCTGAGTCCAAACCCCAGATCCACCAACACCTCCCCCCCACAAAAAAAAAAAAAAGAAATTGAGGAAACTGGCCTTTCTTGTGAGTCCTTTATCTGGCGTGCAGATGGCTCTCTGACTGATTGCAGTCGCTATTGGGATTTGAACTCAGGGCCTCACACTTGCTAGGCAGGCACTCTACCACTTGAGCCACTCTGCCAGACCACTGTTGGGTCATTTTTAAAACTTAGTTAACCATTGCTTTAATGTTAAGACTGTTGAATATCTGGAAGCTGGACAGTCCTTGTCCCGGAGCTCCCAGCTTTGTGGAACTCCGTGCCCTTGGCTATGGGTTGGTCTCTTTTCACCCAACTGAGCTTGTCCTAGCTACTGAGGTTAAAGGCATTGGATAATTAATAGCCATAACATTTCAAGACCGAATTATATGTGAGTCTGCTTAATTACCCTTGCAGTCTTTACAGGCACATCTGTATGTGTGCACCAAACTCCATATTTGCATACACAAATGAATATTTGCATGTGCAGATTAGCTAATTGTACAACTGACTGTCCATCTGCATACTTAATGACTCAATTTACATGTAGAAAGTAGGCTTTTTTCACTTGCAAATGGAAGCTGTTGGGTATTGGTGGTATATTTTTGGAGATGTTGGGTTAATAATGTCACTAAATTATAGGCGACAGAGGCGGTTCATGTGCAATTAGAAGCAGAATAGCTGGTGTGCCCCATTCCCTGCAAACACTGACACTGTTCAGTCTCTCCTTGGCAAACAGGAATTTTATCATTGGAACATCTGATGCCACCGTGTACCACTTAACGACAGATGGCACCAAACTTGAGAAACTATTCGTAGAGCCCAAGGACGCCATTTGTGCTATCGCCTGCCACCCATATCAACCCCTCATTGCCATTGGGAGTGCCTGTGGGATGATCAAAGTATGGGATTATGAAAAGAAGAAGTACCTTTTCAGCAGGGTTTTTGAAAAGGGACTTGGAGTCCAAAGCCTGACCTACAACCCAGAAGGTATTTTCATTTTCCTGAAAGTTGTCCCTGACCCCAGCCCCCCACAGACTAACTGAAATGCCTTCTCTCTAGGACTCCCTGGGCCTCGTACTGTCTGGCCCTCTTCCTAAAGTGTCTGCTTTTCTGTTGATTTCTCCGTGTGAAGACTTTGTCATTTGTGCTCCTCGCTGTCTTCTCTGCACCTAGAGCAGATTGAAGTCCTAATACCATTGTTCTTGGGCTTGTCATTGCAGGAGCTCTGCTTGGAGCTGGCTTCACAGAGGGGACAGTTTACATTCTTGATGCAATGTCTTTAGAAAATGAAAGTCCAGAGCCTTTCAGATATTCCAGAACCTGCGTGACTCATGTAAGCTTCTCGCATGACTCCCGCTACATGGCGACTGCAGTAAGTATTCACTGACTGTGACCAGTGGCTTAAGAGAGAGGGGGCTGGGGAAAGTGAGGGTGCTGAGGATGCTCAAAAATTCTGATGATGGGTGCTCAAATCTGAATGTACTAAAAACCATTGAACTGCACACCTCAGTGTGAAATGGTTACATGGATTGTGTGGTATATGACTTATATTTCAATAAAGCTGTTATACAAAGAGAAAAAGGGGTGGGAGGGCTTTTGCCTGTGGATAAGACTTACCCACCTGGATTCTGCCGTGGACGTGTTAAGTTTTCAGAACCCTGTTTCTGTATCCACACTTTCATCTTCCCTCTCATTTTTGACAAAAAGACATGCTCATCAATTTCAAAGCAGTGTCCCCAACCAGAGATTTGGATTCTGTTCTTTCCCTCGGTGACTTGGGCTCATGATCTCAGGAAAGATGTTTTCCGACCTCCGACCTCTCCCTCAGTCCGTCTGCTGGTCTGACTGCCTGTGTGGGGAAGCAGCTTCCTCACTTGAGCCTCTCCCTCCTGGCACCTCCTAGCCACATGGCCTGTCTTCTGGCTCATGCACACAGCACAAGTAAGTGCCAGAGCTGTCCCAGAACCTGGCTTGGACATCCCACATCCCTCAGGCTGCTCTTCCCACTAGGTCCTGTATCAGACATTTTTTATTTTCTAAAACTGGACAAAGAAAAGGGAGGACAAAGGCAAAAAGATTCAGACTTATGGCTTTCGCTAGAGAACAGGGGACTTGGAAATAGAGTAAGACCATAGTGTCATGTTAATACTTTCTCCCGCAACTACTGCTATCTACTTGTAGCTTTCATTTTCTCATCTGTAAATGGGCATTATTTTTCAACTTATTTTAATAAACTAGATTTTTTTGATAAGTTATTCTAGAGGCAAACTTAGCATGAAAAACATTATGATGATTCTTTTGTTTTTAAATCTCTTTATTTATTTATTTTGCAGTACTGGGGTGTGAACACAGGGTTTTATGCTTACTAGGCAGGCACTCTATTGCTTTACCTGTGCCTTCCACCATTTTTGCCATGGTTATTTTGGAGGTAGGGTCTTGCTTTTTTCCCAGGTCAGCCTGGACCACAGTCCTCTTATTTTAAACTTCCTGCCTTTGCTGGAATGACAGGTGGGCACCATCACACCCAGATTTTTTTCTGTTGAGATGAGGCATCTCTTAGCACTGTGATCCTCCAGATCTTAGCTACCCGTGTAATTTGGGATGAAAGGCATGCGCCACCATGCCCTGCTCTGTGATGATTCTTAAGTCATAAAATTAAAAGTAGAGAAATTTCTCTTTTGTTCATATTCAGGATGTAAGTTTCACTGTGGCTGTATACGTGATGATAGTTAAAAATGGACGAAGAGTCTGGGAATATTTGGCAAGACTCCGCTCTCATCGCAAGAGCATCCGAAGTCTCCTGTTTGGGGTTCACCTCGACAGCAATGAGCCTCGGCTACTGAGCCTTGGGAGAGACAGGTTCCTGGTGAGCTATTTAGCTTTGTTTACCTGGTCACCAGGACTGTGTGTCATTCTTGTCACCTACCTGGCATCTTGCCTAGACCAGGCCACAATATGTGTTTGTTGGAGAAAATGAACATACAATGAAGTATCACAAACCTCTCCAAGTTGGCATCTGGCCTTAACAGGGCTGTGACATTGCCCAGGGGCTTATGTCCTGGAGCAGGTGCTCCTGGGAAGTGGTGAGTGGAAGGCAAGTGGAGGTGCATCTGTCCCTCACAGCACTGATGACTCAGCTACCTTTGCCTCTAAGGGGGAATGTAGCCGACTTTGTGATCAGGGGCCTGGGCCAGAGCATTACAGTGCAAAGACATTGCAGGATCAAGCTGGAAAGATTCCCAAGTAATCAATCAGTATATTCATCCATCTACCCTTCCTCTCTCCCTTCTCATCTTCCTTCCCTCCCTTTCTCTCTATCCTGACCTGCCCACCAAAACAAACCTGTGGTCCAAATTCAGCAGGCTGCTAATTTGTGATCGTCAAGTCCTGAGATTTAGGTATGAATTAGTTCCTATTCTTAGGGCTGGCTGAGTGGCTCAAGTGGTAGAGCACTTGAATAGCAAGTGTGAGGCCCTGAGTTCAAACCACAGAACTGCTAAAAAAAAAAAAATAGGAAAAGTTCCTATTCCTGGAGAGTTCCTAAAATGCTGGTAAGGAGCACAGTAGAACATAACTGTGGTATTTGAGGTTTGGGGTAAGTTGGATCCAAATTTGAATTTTTACTCTACCACTTCTTAGCTGTGTGGCCTTGGGCAAGCCCCTGTAAATATTTCTGAACATTCTTGCTCCTTTGTATAAAGGCCTGCAGAAATGCTCTGCGGGGAGTTAGGGTTCAGTGAGATGAAGTGTTAGGTTCTGAGCTCACTGTTTCACTCATCATGAGTACTCAGTGACAGTCACTCAAGGGTGTGATATCCAGGGGAGTCTTCTCTTAGACCCTGTACTGTCCCCATAATAGGCTAGGTCCTCATGTGTGTCCATCTGGGCTCCTCTGCAGATAGAGTACAATCTGATCAAGAGCTACAAAGACCACCTGGACGTCCTAGACATTCATCGAACTGACCAGGGCAACTACCCCACCTGCATGGTCTGGTACCCGCCACTCACCAAGGAGCTCTTCCTGCTCATTTGCAACAGTGGCTACAAAGTCAAACTTTTTAATTCTACCACCAAAATGTGCAGGTGAGCACAGGGGGCTTTCCACTAATGTCCTGTCTACGGCAACTTCTCATTCCCCAGCCAGTTGCAGGCCTCCACCTGAGGACCTGCAGCAGCTTGGCTACTGTTATCAGACTCCTCACTCCACACAGGAGGAAACTAGGCACAGATAACATGAATTATCCTTACCCAGGCAGTGCCAGAGGGAGGATGCCAACCTAGGCTCTTGCATGGAAATGCCCAGAACTGGTCTCTGGGGCTCTGGAAACGTGGCCAATGCTCTAGTCTCCCATTGTCCATGAAGAAAAAACCTACTTTCACCCAACTACTCCCAGTTGTTTGATTTTTCTTACTCTGGTGCTCAAAGGCATGTTAAGTTCAATTGACGACACTCTGTTCACTCCCTCCCCGAGCTAGGTTCTGTCCAGGTGCTGAAGACAGGGGTGCAAGCGAGACAGGGTTCCCATCTCCATCATGGAGTTCACACTCAAGTGAAGGAGGGTCGCTGCACTAAAGTGCCCAAGTAGCTAGGGGACTAAATATGTGGAAACTGATGCCACACAAAGCAATTCGAAAAGATATGATGAACTGGGTGTCCTGGAGGCAGAGGAGCCGTTGTTTTCAAAGGGTAGAAAGAAAACAGATGGTACCTGAACAGAGACTTGCAGTGGGGGGAGGGAGTAAGCCAGGACAGGAGAAAAAGCCTCTAGACAGGGGATCAGCAAGAGTGGTGTTTGGAGGTCTGAGAAATGCAAAGAAGGCCAGCCTGGCTAGAGTGGAGAGGTAGAGAAACAAACTGGGAGGTTACTGACTCAGGCATCTGTGTGGGGACTGGGTCTGGGGCAAAGGCAGAACAAGGCCAGGAGGTTATTGTGAGAGATGATGGTGGTCTCATGGGTAGTGGGGATGTGGTCACATTCTGGGTGAATCCTGCAGGTAAGCCTAGCAGGATTTGTTGTCAGTGAGAAAAGGAGATGAGAGGAATGGTTGGGCCCAAGCAACCATAGAATGGAATTGATCTTTAATGAGATGGGGAAGAAAAGGAGAAGGGCAGACTTAAGGCACATCAAGAGTTGAAGTTTGGACAAGGTCAATTTCAACTCATCATTCATGTAGGAATACCCATTAGGCTCTGAGTATGAAGGTGATGGGGAGGCTGAGTGGAGGTCAAGAACAGAGGAGGGTTGAAAGCCCTGAGGCAGGAGACTCCAGAGGGATAGAGTGGATCAAGGTTCAAAGACAAGCCCACAGCTCCAAAGCCAGCATCTGAAAGCAGCATCTCCTCCCCATGGAGGTGTCCTACTGTATTGGGGCATTCTAGACCATATGTCTAATTCCAGGGGTTCGACATGTCAGGTCTGGCCACTTGCTCCAATATGCCAAATAAAGAGACAAATATTAGTGAAGGGCACAGAAAGGAGACTTACTACATGACATAGGCACACCTTGAGAAGAGGCAAGTTAGCACTTTAGCCTGTCCTTCCTGAATTCCACAGTGGCTACAAGGTGACTGCAGAAGGAACAGCTCAGAGCAAAGGACAGATGCAAAGCAGATGCAGAGATGCCAAGCTTTTCTCCTATGTTTAGTTACCCTGTGGGCATTGGTAGGCCCACATAAGGATCAGTGCTTTTTAGCAAAAGTAGTTTCTAAGTACCTGTTATACTATAGCCAGGCAGACGCAGGTATGGCTAGACCTGAGGGCCTCAGGTTTGCTCCTTACCTTGGACATTTGATGTTATTATATATCATCCTTGCACCAGGCCCTGCTCTTATCATCACATTTCATCCTCAACCCTGAAAAGTACTGTCTCAATGAGGTTTAGGGATGGTATGAAACTTCCAGGGCAATCAGCTGGGAAGGGCAAAGCAGGACTTTACCTTGAATTGAGCTCTGGTTCTGTTTTCTAGTAGGGACTGCACAACACTGGCATAGCTCCGGCTTCAGGATCCCTCCTCCCTGTTCTACCTGGGGTGGGAGCTTCTGTCTGTGGCCAGCTGCTTCTGAGTTTTTCTACCTGGGATGGGGAGCTTCTGTCTGTGGCCAGCTGCTTCTGAGTTGTTCTACCTGGGGTGGGAGCTTCTGTCTGTGGCCAGCTGCTTCTCAGTTTTTCTACCTGGGGTGGGAGCTTCTGTCTGTGGCCAGCTGCTTCTGAGTTTTTCTACCTGGGGTGGGAGCTTCTGTCTGTGGCCAGCTGCTTCTGAGTTTTTCTACCTGGGGTGGGGAGCTTCTGTCTGTGGCCAGCTGCTTCTGAGTTGTTCTACCTGGGGTGGGAGCTTCTGTCTGTGGCCAGCTGCTTCTGAGTTTTGGCTAGAAAGAGGCAGTTGAGGCAGAAGGGACCAGGAGTGAGAATGATTTGCTGTGGAGCCTTCAGACAGCCATGCCTCAGTAAGATCATTGTTTTGAAATTTATTTCAGATAAGATAGGTCCTCCAAAAGTGGGGCCACCTGGGATTTTTTTCTTCCTCTTCTTTTTTCCTTAAACTGTTCTTTTCCAGAAGGCACAAGGAAAAATGACTAAGAAATGTCATATCATATGGTGAAAAAGAAATCCAGCATAATTTTATAAAACTTAAAACACTTGAAAGAATGTCTAATGAAGAGTTGTAGGAAGATTTCAAAATCTTTGTGCACCATCTTTAATGGACACACATTTTCTGAACAAAGAATATTCCACAGATAAGCCCCAGTCCCGTGAAAAATCTGAATTTGTGGGGCAGGAGGATTAGGGATGGTGTGCTTTGGGCTTAAAGTTCCTTTTAACGGTTATTAACAGGAGAAAAAAGGCAGGAGGGACTTTTAGCAACGTATTTGGGAGTTTCTGCCTACTGAAGATCAATCTAAAGTTAGCATACAGCATCTCTTAAGAAAAGAATTTATCAAGATGAAATTCACATGACGTAAAACTAACCATTTTAAAATGAATGATGCAGTGGGTCTGATACACTCACAGTGTTGGACAACTGCTGCCTCCGTGTTGTTCCAGAGCATCTCCACCTTGTGTGATAACCCCTTGTGTAAAGCATCTTTTAATACTAAGAATAATAATGCCTCGCCACCGCAGCTTAATTGGGGAGGAGTTGCCTTTTCATGATCAATCCAAAAGAATTTTAAAACACATTTTAAAATATTCGAAAGAACATAAAAAGGCAGTTCACAGAAAAAAAGGCCAATAAACATATGAGCAAGATGCTTACCAGTCTATCAAAGATGCAAATGAAAACAAGAATCATTTTTTACAAATTAGATTAGCAATGATAAAAAAAGATTAATAGGGCCAAGTGTTGGCAATGGTATGGGAAACAGGCTCTGTCACCCATTGCTAGGGTGTAAGACGGTGTAACCTTTTGGGAAAGTAATTTGTCATCCTCTATTAAATTTTATCATGTCTTCTGACTTCTAGGAATGGAGCCCACAGACTACTCACACAATGATGCCAAGACCTAAGTAAAAGGATCTCTTGTTAGAAAATATGCTTAAAAATGGAAACAATCCAAATGTCCATTAATAGGGATTAGTTAAATGATGGCTTGTCACTGCACTGGAACACAATGCCACTTTTAGAAAAGAAAAAAAAAAGAGTAAAAGCTCTCTGTGCAGTATTGTGGAAATGAGAAAGCAAATTGCTAAGTAGGCATGAATAGGATAGTTTAACCATCATATAAAATCATTTATAAAAGAAACTCTCAAATCATATCCACCTAACCTCTCTGCTTATATTGGGACAGGGTGAAGCAGTATGGAATACAGGTAGATTTTCAGTTTTATACATGTCTGAATATCTGAACATTTTCACTATGAATATGTGATACTTTTTCAATCACAAGAAAATGATGTTAATTTTATGAAATTGTGAGATAGGTTTAATAATACTATGTCCTTTACATAGCTGTGTTCCAGAAACTGTTCTGAGTGCTTTATCCATGCTGACTTGTTCGATCCTGCCGTAGCTTGCCTGCTGGGACATGTGCTATCCTTATCCCTGTTGTAGAGGCACAGAGAGCACACACCCAGGAAAATTCACCCTGCTAAAGTATACACGTAAATGAATTTTACCATGTTCACAATATTGAGGAGTCATTACCACAATCCAATTCAAGAACATTCCCAACATCCCAAGAAAGATACCTGGTGCCATCAACAGTCACCCCCCCGTCCCCCAGAAACCACTTCATCTGCTTCCTGGCTTATGAGTTTGTCTATTCTGCACAAATGCATATTAAATTCATACTCATATAAATGGAGTCACATGGTATGTGACCTTTTTTTTGACTTCCTTCATTTAACATAATGTTTTCAAGGCTCATCCACACTGTCAGTGACTCATATGCCATTGTGAGGACAGGCCATATTCGGTGTCTCCATTCTTCAGCTGATGGACATTTGGGTGGTTTCTGCTTTGTGGCGATTGTGAACATTGTAGCATGGGATCCTGTGGATCATTTCTTGGATATAGCCCTGGGAGTAGCATTGCTGGGTTGTATCTCTTTTATCATCTCAGTGCCTTCCTGTTTCCACAGCACTGCATCACTTTCCGTTCCTACCAGCCATTTCCCTACAACCTGTCCACAACTTGTAAGGGTCAGAGCTGGGACTGAAGTCAAAAGCTGGGCTCTTACCCACGCCCCCCAACTTTGTCCACTTGGTGATATGTGTAAAGGGCTTTGGGAGAAGGGTGGCAGCAAGAAGCTGGTGCGTTGTCTAGCTGGTGGTCATTTTAGTGTCTTATTTTTATTTGTTTGTTTGCTTATTTGGTGGTACTGGAGTTTGAACTCAGGGCCTCACGCTTGCTAGGCGGGCACTCTACCTCTTGAGCCACTCTGCCAGCGCCATTTTAGTGTTTTAATGTTATATCAAATTCTGTGCGTATGTATACCTGATTAGGGCTCACCCCGCCACTGTCTTTGACCTCCTGAAGTTCAGCAGGAGAAGCCTGCCTTCAAAATGAACCCTGCTCATCTCTTCAGTGTCACCTTCAGTGTCCCTTCCCATTGCTGTTTATGCTTCCAGGATTTCAAACACCTTACTCATTTTTGCAGCCTAAGTTCCTGACATCATGACTGGCACAGGGAAATGCTCTCGAAAGGCCAGTGTGAAGGCACCGGCTCTTCCTTCATCCAGCACACATCCAGTGAACACCTCCTGTCCCACCACACACAGGCCAATACTGGTGACACAGTAAGAAAATACCAAGGTGAAGTCACCACAGGACTTACGCAGGGGCACAGCCAGGGTTTGTGAGGCCTGAATTTTTATTTGATTTTATGGGCCTCATTATTAAGAAAGAGAAAAGAACAAAATAAAAATGGCTAGGGCCCCTGCCAGGGCTCAATAAGTACAAGTGGGGGTCCTGAAGCAACCTGTTGGCTTCAGAGAGAGTCTGCCCGTGGACCCAGGGTGATGCCCAGCGGCCTCACCAGCAGCCTCACCTGAGTGCAGATCCCCGTTCAGTGAAATACTCTCTAGGCTAGAGAAGTCTAGGCCAGGTGCTGTTGTGTGCACGTGTGGTCCCAGCTACTCAGGAGACTGAGGCGGAAGGATTGTTTGAGCCCAGGAATTCCAGGCCAGCCTGGGCAAATATACTGAGACCCTGTGTATTAAAAAATGTTAAAACCTGGATGCTTGTGTCGCACTCCTGTAATACCAGCTACTCAGGAGGCAGAGATCAGGAGGATGGCCATTTGAAGCCAGCCCCCAGGCAAATAGTTTGCAAGACCCTATCTTGAAAAACCAAACACAAAAAATGGGGCAGGTGGAGTGGCTCAAGCGGTAGTGCACCTGCCTAGCAACTGTAAGGCCCTGAGTTCAAACTCCAGCACCCTCACAATAAAAGGGCCGGGCCAGGTGGCACCTGCCTGTCATCCCAGCACTTGGGAGGCTGAGGCAGGAAGATTGCAAGTTCAAGGCCAACTGGGTATGTGTGTAGGGAGACCCTTCAAAAAAAAAAAAGTATAAGGGCATCATGACCAAAAAGTCTTAAAACACTCAGATTTGTGAAATTTAAAACAGTTTCTTTTTTTCCCATTCAGAAAGACACTTCTTGGGCCAGCCTACGGGTCTCCTATTGAACACACGCAGGTCCTCCCAGTGAGGACCATGATGGAGCTACAGAAGCGCTACCTGGTGTTCATTAACAAGGATAAGGTAGCAGTGCCTGCCATTTATTCTCTGCCCACGAATGCAAACTGAACGTTTTTTTTTTTCTTTGTGGTACTGGGCTTTGAACTCCATGTTGTCTGCTGTGTAAGATGACTCTCTGTATTGTGAACAGTAGTCAGTCCCAAAGACTGTAAGATCCAAGGGTGCCTGGTCCCACAGTGGTGTGGAACCACTTCCATCTGGGTCACTAATGATACTAAAAATTGCCTTTCGGGAGGTATTTCTGAGCAGAGATACCCCCAATGAAGACACCTGGCCCTGTAAAGGACTTTTATCTTTCTTACTTATTTACATGGAAAAATCCAGTTTGCATGGAAGATAAGCAAATTAGTTACACTTACTTATAAACTTAATGAGTCATTTATACAGAAAAGTGAAAGTTGTTGGTTGTGAGAATTGTTCTGGAAAACCTTGGAAATCTGACCATGAAGACGGGGAGAAAAGCTTCCCTCTGTGTACCTGCTGAAGCTGTGAAGGGAGCCCATCTCCCTTTAGGAAACCCCACCAGGGCAGTTGTATATGTGGGTGCCCAGCTGCATTAACTGCAGCTCTTACCCTGAGATGGGTCTGGACACACAGGCCCTTCCAGTCCACGGATCTGAAGGTGAGGTCTGGATGTGCCAGGCCTGGCTTGGGATCCAGTTACCTAAGCTTGAATATACAACTACATATTCCTTTCTAGGTTGGACTTCAGATCTTACCAGTTGATGGCAATCCACATAAGACATGTGCTATCATCTGCCACCCAAATGGGGTGGCTGGAATGGCCCTTTCCTATGATGGCTGCTATGCCTTCACAGCAGGAGGACATGATCGCTCGGTAGTACAGTGGAAAATCAATTTAAGGTAGGTGATGGGGTGCCTATCTTGGCCTTAGAGGAATGTGTCAAGTGTAGATCCCTTCTTTTCACTCAGCAACAGCACTCAGACGTGGAAACCCTAGTGTGTGCTAGATACTGCCCTAGGATGGCACAGGACCTGGCCTTCAGGATGTTCCTTTGTGACAGACATTCATATTACTGTGTAGACCAAAGGTCACTGTGTAGTCTCGTGGCCAGTGCACCAATTTGCAGCTCAGGCAGTGGGAGTCCACCTGGGCTCTCCCTGGCTCCCTGAAACACCTCTTGCTTTGTCTATGCGTATCCATGCCAGCCACAATGGAAAGACTAAAGCATGCATTATAGAAATAGTAAGAGTATCATTTGAAATGTGCATTTTCAGTTTACTCTTTTTACCCTCCCTGCCCTGAACTGAGAAACTCTGCCTGAGGGGAGGCTGGAAAATTCTGTTCTTTCATATCAGCGAATACAAGGACTTTGGCCTCAAAGAGATGGGGGTTTGGATATGAGGCCTACTCCCCTACTGGCTGTGGGACCTGGGGACATTTTCTTAACATTTCTTTCTTTTTTTTGCTTTCTTTGTGGTACTAGGGTTTGAACTCAGGGATCTGTGCGTGCTTGGCAGGTACTCTACCTCTTGAGCCACACCCTCAGTTCATCTTAACATTTCTGATCTTCAGACTCCTCCTCTGTGAGATGTGAATTAACAATAGGGACTTTTATAGGATCCTTGTAAGGATCAGGTAAGGGTTAACATATGTGAAGTACCTCGGGTAGAGCTAAGTCCTCAGTGAAATTATTAATTTCTTTCCTTCTCTTCTTCCTGATAAGCACATTTGCTTATGAGTACAGGATCTTTTTTACTAAGACAGTAGGTAGGTGCTAAGACAATACTCCCATATGCAGTGAGCTACAACAGGGCAGAGCAGATCCCTGGGCAACCATTTCCTATTCCTGACTTCCCCCTCCGTATGCCTGCTCTGCAGGTCTTAGATGCCCCTCTCCTGACAGTGTGACCTTAAGAAGCAGGTCAGAACAACTTGGAAACACCTTCCTTCCTCAAAGAGCAAAGTTGATTCCTAGCTTCCTGTAAAGTCTGCCCCCTGTCATCTATCATGTGTTCATCTTTTTTCTTTATGGCAGAAGTCGAAGCTTCTGTTCTTTACCTGAAATTGAGCAAAAATAGCCAGTGAAATCTGCTCTGGAGCCACTCTGAACACAGACTTTGACTGTCCTCTCCACCTTCACCAGGAAAGCAGATGATGGAAAGTAGGGGTGCAGAAGCTGGAGGTCAGCTCTCCAGTCCTAAAGCACTCCTGAGCATCTTTCCACAGATGCTGCCCAATGCCTTGTCACCAGCCTGCCACTTGCAACTTTAGAAGCAAGGGACATGCCAGGAATAGTGTTTTCTTTTTAATTTTTGTCGTTTTCTTGGTCATTATGGGACCCGGAATGATAGGAAATTAAAAAAAGAGAGAGAGAGAGAGAGAGAGAGAGAGAGAGAGAGAGAGAGAGAGGCACCCACTTTCCAGAAGCTTCTCTTGGACTGGCCAGGGTCCAGGCATCTGAGAATTTCAATTTAATCTGTTGTGGGGACAAAGGATCATTATGAACTAATTAGCACTTTATTGCTACTTCTGGTGACTGACTTAATATGTTCTGTGCTTTACTATTGGAAAGAAGCGTAAAAACTCTAAACAAGTAAATAACAAAATTCCCTATCAGATTTACTGATGGCAGAGTTGTGGGGTAAAATGAAGATGGTAAATCCACTCACTCTGATTATTTTAATCAGCATGTGCATAGGCCCAAAACACTATCATCACAGTATGTGGAAAGTTGTTCCTGGAGCCCCCTTCCTGTCTTCCTCCCCCTGGCACTGTTTTACACACCCTCTCCTTTCTCCCCTTCTTTGCTTGCAGAGCACCCCTTTTCTCTCCTTGTTAGATTCCAGTTTTAAAATCTCCCATTCTCTTTTTTATGCTCCCCTCGCTGCCTGAGACCTGAATTCCAATTCTAGCTTTGAAAAAAACAAAAACAACCAAATCCTAGCTTGACCTATTTGCTGGATGAAGTCAGGCAAATCTCTTAATTTCTCTGAGCCTCAGTTTCTCTATCTGTTGAATGGGACTGTCATCACTGAGGTCAGGGTGGTTTTGAGGGAGGTGACCACCACATTACCATCACTCCCCCTCCTCTAGGGAGCTTCAGCACTTAGCAAGTGCTCATCAGCTCCTGGCTTCCCTGGACAAAAAAAGCTTTAGCTTTTTGTCCAGAAATATGATACCTATCGCCAGGTACACAGTAGATATTTAATAAATACCACTTCCATTTTGGACCCCAGAGACCTCTCTTTTTTTGGTGGGACTGGGGTTTCAATTAATGGCTTTGTGCTTGCAAAGCAGGTGTACCACTGCTTGGGCCACATCTCCGGTCCATTTTGGTCTGGTTATTTTGGAGATGGGGGTCTCACAAACTATTTGCTCCCTATCTCAGCCTCCCAAGTAGCTAAGATTACAGGCGTAAACCACCAGTGCCAGGCCATAGACCTCTTTCTTTCTTTTTTTTTTTTTTTATTGCAAGTGTTAGGAACCCAACTTAGGCAAAAAGAGGGGCGCCTAACAAGGAAGTTGGAATCCCACATCGCTGTGTGCCCAGGAACAAGGACAGCAGCCCTCAATACCCTCTGCCTGCCTCTGCTGTTGGCTTCCAGCTCCACAGAGCCAGGCTACTCAGCAGGAGCACGGCCACCAACAGCTCCTGGGTTTCAGAAATTGTCCCTCTCACCGTAGACAGAGCAAGTCCCTCTCCCCAGCACTAGGGAAACAGCCATGGACAGTCCTTGGCCCTCTGGCATAAGCAGACAGTAGCTGGGAAGAAGGGCATGGGTACATCCCTGACCCCCAGAGCCCAGAGTGTTGAGCTGTCCTAGAGAGCCAGGTGTTCCTGCGGTCTCCTCGGAGGTTCTTGGTGGCAACAGGCTCCTCTGTCATTTCTGGGCCTTATGTGTCCTGTGCCAAGCCTGCATGGCTAAAAGTGGCCTCATTGTCTGTTTATGGAGCCTGTCAGGAACAAGCCTGGGTCTGACCTGGAGACCACAGAGAGGGAGTCCTGTTGGCTGGACACCTGCCTCCATGGCCTGATGTCAGAGCTGAGGAGTGGGGAGCAAATCAGGCCATGGGGAACACACAGGGTCCCCAGACTCTAACACAGCACACTGGGCTTGAGCATGGCCACAACAAGAGGACTCTTTGTATTTCGATACTGTTGTTTTGTATTATGATTCTGTGGATTGAAGCAGGGCCTTGCATGTTAGGCAAGCAGTGCTCCCTGGAGGAGGGGGGAGTCATGCTAATGTATTTATCTCCCTCTAAACACTCTGACCTCAGTGATGGCAGTCCCACTCAGCAGATAGAGCAGCTGAGGCTCAAGTGGTTAAGTGACTTACCTGACCTCGTCCAGCCTAGGCGGTCAAGCTGGGATTTGGTTGTTGTTGTTGAGCTATGCCCCTAGCCCCTTTGCCCCTTGCCTGCTTGCTAGGCAGGCACTCCACCACTTGAGCCACACCCCCAGCCTTTTTTATCTAGTTAGTTTTCTGATAGGATCTTGTATTTATGCCCAGGCTGGCCTGGGCTGCAATCTTCCTATTTATGCTTCCTACGTAGCTGGCAGGTATGTACCAGAGAGCCCAGCTTTTATTGGTTAAGATGGTATCTCATGAACTTTTTGCCCAAATTGGCCTCGATCTCCATCTCCCTAGAAGCTAGAATTACAGATGTGAGCTACTGCACCCAGTTTATTTCACTTTTATTTTGTTTGTGAGACTGAGTTTCATCATTACCTTTGGCCGGGTTGGCCTTGAACTCAAGATCCTCTTGCCTCTGCCTCCTGAGTAGCTAGAATTACAGGCATGTACCACCATGTAGGCTGGTGTCTCACTCTTTGTAAAAGAGGTGGAGGGATATGCCAGTGCCTGTTCCCATGGTAACAGTGATCCTAAGCACTTGGTATCAGCCTTTCCTCTGGGTTCGGCCCTATTTGGCCCCATGTAGAGTGCTTTAAATGTGCCATCCTGATTCCATCCTCACAGCTGTCCTGGGAGGCAGGTACTTTTGTTGTTCCCACATACAGATGAGGAAACTCCCTCCGAGGGGGTTATTGATTGCTTAAGCCATGGAACAAGTGGTGGAGCTGGGGTTGGTCTTCAGAGTCAACCTCACACCTCCACAAACATTAATCACAAGAGGAAGGTGATGAGCCTCATAGCAAACCCTTTATGTGTGTTCACTCATTTGAGTCTTACAACAAATCCTGTATAATCTTCCCATTTTACAGATGAGGAAACTGAGGCCAGGTAAGCCATTACTTGCCCACGATCACACAGCCTGTAGGTGGCAGAGCCAGGATCCATGTCCCAGTGATTCCACATTCTGAACACTTAGCCACTTCTCAACTGGGGTCTTCATCAAAGTATGTTTGGCTGTTCTGACAAAGGGGCTAATTACTTGATGAGCAGAAAACCAGTGAGTGGATTATTACAATGATGTCAAATTATTAGCCTTTTGTACGAGGCAAAGCAGTATCATGCAAAAGTAGGTTTTCTTACCATTTAAAGGTCCTATTTTTGGAAAATCTGACCCAGTGTTAGGGAGCAGAGGGTTATTTTTATCTAGCTGGCATGGGTCCCTGTGGTCTCCTGAGTTTTTATGGAAGCAATTAGTGTTGGCAGTCCACCTGCACAGCATCCCCTCCTTTTGGCTCTGGTCATATGCACAGCTAAAGTTACGACTAGAGCTGCTCCACTGTGGTTTCAGAACACCAGATCCTGCCTGCCCTCCTGCAGGAGAGACACAGTCCCCAAAGGTTTCAGACAAATTGCCATGTGCCTCCCTGTCATCAGTGAGAGAGTATCACCGTAATTAAGGTGGGTGTTCTGTAACCACCAAATTCCAAGCTTGAAATTGAGTGTTCCATCTTGGGCTTCATTACAGAGCAACTTCTCAGCAAGTTTGCAGAGCCCCTGGTGGTACCTGCACTGCAGTACCCTTGAGAGGGCACAGCACTGCAGGGCCCACCATCTGGCCCATGTTCGTGCATGAGTGCTTCCTAACAGTCATGTTTCTGTTACTGTTCCAGTGCCCTGGATGCTGCCGTTTCCCTTGGGGGTGACGACTTGACCCCGTTCTATGGTCTGGTGTCTGGTGGCAGGGAAGGAAAATTCTACAGGGTAACTGTCCTCAGAGTAAACGCTTCCTGGTAACCTCTAGTTAAGTTTGTATACAAATGTGCCCAGGTTTTAACCCTCTTTGCTTTTCTCCAAAGCTCCTTTCCTCACTGAGCTCAAAATATACTTTCTAGAAAACACCTTTGAAGCCTTAATGGCTGCTTCACGCTGAAGACAGTTCTGTGTTAAGTGTGCTGTGTTTCCATTTCATTTCCACGCAGGAGCTAGAAGACTATTTTTACTACTCTCAGCTCCGCAGTCAAGGTATCGATACAATGGAGACCAGGAAGGTGTCTGAACACATTTGCCTGTCTGAGCTTCCTTTTGTCATGAGAGCAATTGGCTTTTACCCGTCGGAGGAGAAGGTAGGTAGAGCAAAAAACAAGAACAGCACCAAGATATGCTATTTATAACAGATACCTCTGGGAGCAGTCATTATAGGTCAAAGCAGCAATGTAACATTTTTCTTACGTAACTGGACCAGCACGAAGGGGATTTCAGGTATGCTCTTATAACTGACTTAAAGCAAAGATGTGTTCCACTTCCAGAAGACATATGCATTAGGGAAGCTTGATGTTGGTTAGAGCACGGGTTTATGAGTGTGCCACTCTGAAAGTGGGCAGATGGTTCTGGTCTCAGCTCTGCCTTTGCTGAGTGAGGACCACCTCAGGATGTGAGGGAGATGATGTCTGCGAGGCAGTGGTCACAGCGCTGGCCTTGTAGGAAGAGCTCGGTAATGGTGATAGTTCTGTTATTCTCACTGTGTAGTTGTCATGAATCTAGCATGTGCTGTGAGGTGCCTCTGAGAAGTGGGTGCTCCTGTAGGCCATGGAGCTCAAAGGTGGCAGTTGTTCTTCATGACCATGTGGGAGAAACACCCTGAGCACAAGTTGTTCCCCAGCAGGGACAAGAAGCAGCCTAGGGAAATGTCCCTCACTCAAGCTGTTGTTCCACGGGCTATTTATGAGGTTTTCTTTCTGACTTTAACTATATGTTCTCGTGATAGAAAGTTTGAGAAGGAGCAGAGTGTGGTGGTGCGTGGCTACAATCCCAGAACTTGGAAGGCTGAGGCAGGAGGATTGTAAACTTGAGGCCAGCCAGGGCTACTTAATAAGACCCTATCACAAAGAAAGAAAAGAAAACAAAATTTGGGGAAGATACACAAGTGGAATGAAGAAAATAATACTTAAAATCCTACTACCCAGCTGAGTGCTGGTGGCTCATGCCTATACTCCATCTACTCAGGAGGCAGAGATCAGGATACTCAAGGTTCATAGCCAGCCCAGGCAAATTGTTAGAGAGACCCTAGCTCAAAAAAAAAAAAAAAACCCATCATAAAAAAAGGGCTTGTGGAGTGGCTCAAGGTGTAGGCCCTGAGTTCAAGCCCTAGTACTGCAAAAAAAAAAAAAAATCCCACTACCCAGACTTGACAGCTATTGTGTGTGTGTGTGTGTGTTTGTGTATATATATATATATATATATATATATATATATGTAATTTTTGTTACCATTTTGAATATATATATTTCTACCCTATATTTTTCATTTACTATAACATGATAAGCACTTTCCATTTTATTAAAGATTCTCTGAAAACAAGCACTTTAAAGGATGTATTTGGCATACTTACCTGGCAGGGTAGATATCAGGATCACAAAAGTGGTTTTCCCAGCGTGGAACTTACCCCTCACTCTCCAAATGTGCTAGCTCCTGCATTTTTTCCAAAAACAGGAAACTGGACTGCATAATTTGTGGTAGTGGGGGACTGCATTTGTGCTTGCCCCTAAAAAATAAAAGGATGTATTTGAGACTGGGTATATAGCTCAGTGGTGGTACATTCCCTAACATGTGCAACCAAGGCTTTGGGTTTAATCCCAGCACTGCAAACATTTTTTAAATTTTGTAACATTTTTCTGATTTAGAAAATAGAACTATAAAGAGAAAAATAGAAATTACTCAAGTGAGCCGAGACATCCTCCAGTCCCAGCATGCAGGAGACAGTCAGAAGGATCTCGACCTTGAGGCCAGCCTGGGCTACGTAAGTGAGAGCCTGGCTCAGAAAAACGAGAGCTAGGGATGTAGTTCAGTGGTAGAGTGCTTGTCTAGCATGTGCAAGGTCCTGGGCCCCATCCCCAATACCACGAACAAAGAAAAAATTTACTCAGAAATAATCAGTTATTATTTTAGTGAATTTCCTTCTATTGTTTTGTATATGTCCATATTTTTAAACAAAGGGTTAGCATTATCTGGTATAAATACATATATATACATATTAATATTATACAATGTGTGTATACTTATGTGTATACGTACCAACATTATCAGTAACCATTGTTTTGTCAGCTTGGTGGTAAAAATTCCTTGCCATTACTTTTTATTTCATTTTATTTTTTTTTGGCAGCACTGGGGTTTGAACTCAGGGCCTCACACTTGCTATGCAGGCACTCTACCACTTGAGCCTCTTCACCAGCCCTTTTTTGGATTGCGTATTTTTGAGACGGGGTCTCTCTTTTTTGCTGGGGCTGGCCTTGAACTATGATCCTCCTGCTCTCTTCCTCCTGAGAAGCTAGGATTACAGGTGTGAGCCACCAGCGTGCAGCCAACAACACACCTTTTAAAAGCGATGTACTTAACTGATCCAACCCCAGCTGATGGGCACAGAGGTTGTCTGAAGTATTTAGCTGACAGAGACACAGCTGTGATGAGCATCTGAGCATATGGATTGTGTATACATCTCTAATTATTTTCCGAGGTCAGAGCTGGTGGAATTACTGGACCAGAGAATACAAACTTCAAGGCCCTATGTAAAAATGTAGCATGAGACGTGCCCTCCACTGTCAGGCACATGTGATCCCTGAAACCCACCTGACTTGATGTCCATATCAGGTGACATGAGTTGGTTGAGAGCATTACAGGAATATAAATTGTGCTTCTAGTAACTCCTCTTGGTTTCAATGGCCTATGCAGAATCACCTATTTTGTATGCTACAGGCATGACTATTGGGTGACTTTTTTTTTTTTGGCAGTACTGGAATTTGAACTCAGGGCCTCATGCTTGCTAGGCCGGTACTCTTATCACTTGAGCCATTCTGCCAGTCCTGTTTTATGTTGGCTATTTTAGAGATAGGGTCTTGAGAACTGTTTGCCCAGGGCTGGCTTTGAACCGTGAGCCTCCTGAGCTCTGCCTCCTGAGTAGCTAGGATTACAGGTGTGAGCCTCTAGTGCTCTGCCCACAAGATGACTTTTATGCTACAAGTAGCATCTAGAGAAGTGAGCTGTATGGAGAACCCATACCACTATACTTGAGTCTGGTTGAGGCCCTTAAAGACACCAAACATCCTCTTAAATTCCTCAAAAGGTCTTTTGACTGATGTGCATTTTGTAAAAGCACATGGCCAGAAACATTCACCTGCCGAGAAAATGTGTGCAGCCCACATAAAACTGTTCCTTAAGTCAGTGGCACATGCCTGTAGTCCCAGCTATACTTGGGAGGCTGAGGCAGGAGGAACACGTGAGTCCAAGAGTGAAAACCTAGCCTGGGTAATTTAAGGAGATCCTATCTCAAAAAAACAGTAGTCCTTAGAGCTGGGTTTTTTTTTTTTTTCTTTCAGTACTGGGGTTTGAATTCAGGGCCTACGCCTCGAGCCACCCCACTAGCCCTTTTTCATGGTGGTTTTTTTTTTTTTTGGAGATAGAGTCTCACAGAACTATTTGCTCAGGCTGGCTTTAAATTGTAATCCTCCTGATCTGTGCCCCCTGAGTAGCTAGGATTACAGGTGTGAGCCACCAACGTTCTGCTATAGCTGTATTTTCCAAAGCAATTTCCACCCAAACTGGTCAGCACGGCAGAATTACTTGGAGCATTTTCTCAAGCATCCCATTCCTGAGTCCCATCCCAGATTGAGATAGTCAGAGTCTCCTAAGTACAGAGCCTGACAGTCTACATGTTCATCTCCCCCAGGGTCACTGTGACACACAATGGCACAAAGCTTTGTTCTTCAAGGTTGAGGAAAGAAAAAAGCCTGTCTTGGTAGGTTGGTAGGAAGTGCAGGGGACTTGCTGACCCAGTAGTCACTGTTTGCTCTGCGTGTCATCTCCAAAGTAGTCTGAGTGCATGGGTCCTTGTCCATAAATGGAGGCTGGAGAGACTTCAGCCTCATAGGGCTGCCATGAGACTCAAGAAGCAAGGTCCATACAGCACTCAGCACATGTGTATACAGTAGGCACTTACTCAGTGGGGCACTTCTTTGTCCCTCAGTTTCTCTCATCAAAATGGCGTGTTTTTCTCAAGAGGTTCATGGTATGTGGCCTTTCATTTTCTTATTTTTAACTTTGTATGGTAGAAAATTCCAAACATACACAAAAGTAGACAAGAATAACAATAAATTCCAATGTATCTACTACTAGTAACCCTCAGCAATGATCAACTCTTGTTTTAGCCAGACTCACCAGGCTTCTCCCACTTACCCCATGGGTTATTCTGAAGCAAGTCAGGTGACTCCCAGGTCAGTGGCTCCAGGTTTGCATCCTGACTGGGGCCACGTGCCAGCTGTAAGACTTGGTCATGTTTTTGAATTTCTCATTCTCAGATGGGAGTGATAGTACGCCCACCTCCTGGGAGCATCCTGAAGATTAAATGAGTATCTAGTTCGTGTCCACTATGGGACATGCTAAACGTGTGAAAAATACCTGCTATCAGTGTCTGCATCATTGCATTCCTGTCTCTGGGCTCACGACTACAAAAGCATTTCTCTAACCTCAACACTCTTTCTAAAATCTAAAATTCTAGAATTCTCTATTTATCTGGTAAAGGTACTTTATATAAATGTCTGAAAGTCATCAAATTGATGTCAGTCATCTTATTCAGGATTCTTTTTTTTTTTTTTTGTGGTACTAGGGCTTGAACTCAGGGCCTACACCTTGAGCCACTCCACCAGCCTCCCACCCCCACCCTTTTTTTTTCTGAAGGGTTTTTCAAGATAGGGTCTCTCAGAACTATTTGTCCAGGCTGGCTTTGAACTGTGATTCATCTACTCTCTGCCTCCTGAGTAGCTAGGATTACAGGTGTGAGCCACCAGCACCTGGCTTATTCAGGATTCTTGATTTTAAACCCTCAACTTATATACGTGTGTCCCCCTATGTTGTCCTGCTTTGTTGCCAAGG